CTTTGCAGCCTGAGCCGATAAAACGAAGATGTCATCCTCATCCGAGTCAGACAGGAGGAACTCAGAGGTATCCTCTTCGTCCTCCATATAGTCCAACTCCAGGACATCCTCCGCGGGTGGAACCATGGTGAGGTCCAGTTGGGAGCCCCAGCTTGACACAGCGCGGGGCTCCGCTCTCGCGGCTCTTGCCGCCACCAGGTCCCAGCCTGACACGGCGTGGGGCTCCGGTTCAGCGGCTGTCGCTGTTGTTGAGCCCCAGTCTGACACAGCGCAGGGGCTCAATCTCTGCGGCGGACGCCACCATGTCTTGATTGCCGGCCGGCGAATCAGCGGACATGAGGGGATCCCGTCCCGACAAGCTATCTATCTTGGCGTGCTAACCGTCGGTGGAGGCTCTTAATGGTGAAGCGGGTACAATGCCCGCACGAGCCGGGGTTATCGATAGCCTCCCGGGCGTGTTCCAGCCCGAGACAGGACGAGCAGACCCGGTGTGAGTCTGTGCCTGAAATCTTAAACCCGCAGCCGCATAGCCGAGCCTCCGAGTCCCTGACTCCTCTGGTGTGAGGGAGAGAAGGGTCCATCTTCATTCGCCGGGGTGTCGGCGTGGAGTGGACGTGCTAGTAACAGGTACGTTACTGAGAAAAAAATCCAACCTTGCCGTTAGTCCGAAAGGAAAAAAGGTGACTGTGTAGATTTTATTCTTTAAAGAATATTAACTGGTGTGTTAATACCTTTTTTTTTATCTCTGTCTCCTCTGGTGTGAGAGAGAAAAGAGAACGTCCTCTTTACCGTGGTGTCGGTGTGGAGGGAAGAACAAACTAGCAACAGGTAGCCTATGTTACTAGCTTGAAGAAAAAAATCAAACCTTACCGTTATTTCGACAGAAAGAAACGGCGAGGCAGATTACAATATTAACTGGTGTGTTAATATTGTTCAGTCTTCTTGCAAAGCAAAAAAAAAAAAGTAACCGGCAAGCGCCCGTCGACCGAATGTTAGCTTTGGGTTCAGTCTGTGGACCGTTAAGCTAGCCCGGTTACTGATAATTCGAGATGTGCTCTGAAGCGAGAAGAGGTGTTTGAATGACGCTGCGTCATTCCCTGACGCTGACGTCAAGATCACCAGCCAATCAGGATTGGCGTAATGAGATTGATGCTTCTGTTTGCATACGCGTTGAGACGCATCCCATAGTGAGACATCGAACGGAGTGTTATGAATGAGAACTGCAATGCTAATTTAGACCACTCTTGAAAAGAAAGAAAGTAATTAAATATCACTCTTTAATGAAAATCAAATAAGGAGAAAAAGAGATACCTCTTTTGAAATTCACAATTCGAGGAACTCTGAATGTATGGAGGAGACATTATGTTTGAGAACAACATTTATATAAAGTAAAGGAAAATGTCACATCAGACTTTATTATTGCTGGTAGCTTGAAACCATGCAATATTTGAAGGTGGAAAGCACAGAGAGAGGGAGAAAGACCAACATTTTCTCACACTAATGAAAAAGCTTTGGTTTGTGCAGCTGCATACTTAGCAGTCTGCAAACCTTTTATCATAAATTATACATTATGAGCAAACTCTGAAAGGGAAGTCTGGACAAACAAAGTGAGTCAACGGTGGCAGCTCCGGTACACACACATGCGCAGAGACATACACCTACATGTATATACAGTGTACACTGTTCTGTTTACTACTCTCCCTTTTCCCTCTAGCACTAAACCTCCAACCATTGATTTTTCAACCACTGTTTATAGTTCCATTTGTGTCATTATTGCAGATTTACGTTTTATTTAATCTCTCTCGCCCTCGTCTCAGATAAATTTGATTCAGCTTGACTCCAATTTTAGAAACATGACGACCAATTACAATAGCATACTTGATTCAGTCTTTTCCCAATACTGCTACAAAACATAATTATTAGATATGTCAATCCTATTCTTTTAGGATACTTAAGTTGGTGTTGCTTACGAAGGTACACATTTGTTGTTCAATCTACAATACTAAATAACAACAATATAACGTGGTACTTATTATCCACAAACTGGAAGAATATACAATTGTCAATGAAAAAAAATGAATTAACTTGCCAGAATAAATAACACTAAATGTATCAAACGTGCCCACGGAGGGTAGAGGTAAAAATATCATATCTAAAATTACAGCAGAAAAGCAATTGTAAACAAAACAAAAGATAAATGAAATCCTTTTGTGGTCTAATGTTGTTTGTAGTTTCAGTAGTTAACTACACAAAAAAAGGTTAAAAATAAATGTTTATAATTGAATCACCATACAGTTATGAATGTATTCAAACGACATGAAGTTACTGCTAAATGTAGTTAAACTACTTGTGTATTTACATTGGTACAAGATCATTCCGCTCTTTGGGCATGTAGAGTTTCTAATTCCCAACTGTGTGTTTGAGGAAACTTGAGGAGGACCCATGTGATGACGCAGACAATGTTTAAACTCGATAAAGACTGGGGCCGGGCTCTGATCCAAATCTTCCTGCATTCAGGACGCCACAATGCCAACATCAATCCAGTCCAGAAAACCCAATCAAATCCAGTCTACAACTCCAGTCCAATCCAATTCAATTCAATACAGTTCAATCCAGTCAGCTAGACCCATCCAGACTGCTGATGAGAAAGAAGTGTGTTATACTCTTGAAACAGGAAGTACTAAATGGACCTTGAGGTGATGTAGCTTTATAAAGTCTATTATAGTCCAATATAATAATTCAGCACAGTGTAATTGATTGCATATCTCTTCATGCACTATATACAGTTGCAAGAAAAAGTATGTGAACCCTTTGGATTCTCCACACATAGCGTTGTGTGTTCCTTCCAAACAACTCAACTTTGGTTTCATCTGTCCACAGAATATTTTGCCAGTAGTGCTGTGGAACATCCAGGTGCTCTTTTGCAAACTTCAAACGTGCAGCAATGTTTTTTCTGGACAGCAGTGGCTTCCTCCGTGGTGTCCTCCCATGAACTCCATTCTTGTTCAGCGTTGTACGTATCATAGATTCGTCAACAGAGATGTTAGCATGTGCCAGAAATTTCTTTAAGTATCTAGCTGACACTCTAGGATTCTTCTTCACCTCATTGAGCATTCTGCGCTGTGCTCTTGCAGTCGTCTTTACAGGACGGCCACTCCTAGGGAGAGTAGCAACAGTGCTGAACTTTCTCCATTTATAGACAACTTGTCTTACCGTGGACTGATGAACATCAAGGCTTTTAGAGATACTTTTGTAACCCTTTCCAGCTTTATGCAAGTCAACAATTCTTAATCGTAGGTCTTCTGAGAGCTCTTTTGTGCGAGGCATGGTTCACATCTGGCAATGCTTCTTAAGAATAGCAAATGTAAAACTGGTGTGTATTTTTTATAGTGCAGGGCAGCTTTAACCAACACCTCGCAATCTCGTCTCATTGATTGGACTCCAGGTTGGCTGACTCCTGACTCCAATTAGCTCTTGAATAATAATAATAATAATAATAAATGATATTTATATAGCGCCTTTCAAGGGACCCAAGGTCGCTGTACATGGTGGACAAACAAAACAAACAGACAATCAACGGGCAAACCAAATAAATAAATAAAGAAAGCCAGGGGACCAGAAAAGGGCTAGGGCCCGAAGGCCAGGGTGAACAGGTGTGTTTTTAGTGATAATTTGAAGATGTCCAGGGAGGCAGCATTACGGATCTCGGCAGGAAGTGCATTCCAGAGGGTGGGGGCCGCAACACTGAATGCCCTGTCACCAACAGTTCGGAGGCGAGAGCGGGGGATGGAGAGCAGGCCCGTGTCTGAGGACCGCAGACTCCGAGAAGGGGTGTAGGGATGGAGGAGGTCCGATAAGTACTGGGGGGCGAGGGTATGGAGGGACTTGTACGTGAGGATGAGTGTTTTGTATTGAATCCGGGACTTGACCGGCAGCCAATGTAGGTGGATGAGGGTGGGGGTGATATGGTGCCATGCCTTGGTGTGGGTGAGAAGCCTGGCGGCAGAGTTCTGGACATATTGGAGCCTATCCAGGGTTTTGCTGGGAATCCCAGACAGGACTCCATTGCAATAGTCCAGACGGGATGTAATGAAGGCGTGTACCAGGGTTTCTGCCACAGAGTCAGAGAGAGAATGCTGGATTCTGGCAATGTTTTTTAGGTGGTAGAAGGCGGATTTGGTGACAGCTTTGACATGCGCCTGGAAAGAGAGGGTGGTGTCCAGGATGACTCTTGAAGAAGTCTTTAGCCTAGGGGTTCACATACTTTTTCCACCCTGCACTGTGAATGTTTACATGGTGTGTTCAATAAAAACATGAAAACATATAATTGTTTGTGTGGTATTAGTTTAAGCAGACTGTGTTTGTCTATTGTTGTGACTTAGATGAAGATCAGAACACATTTTATGACCAACTTATGCAGAAATCCAGGTAATTCCAAAGGGTTCACATACTTTTTCTTGCAACTGTATATAGATTTCTACAGACAAAGATGAAGCGTTTATAGATATGGACATCATCTCTATTTGTGCAACACCTCAGACTATTTATCTAAGCTGCCAAATCACCTCCCCCTCTAGTTTCCTACTTATATGAATTCCAGGGGTGTTTGGCTGTCATCCCAGGTCAACCCAGCCTTCAGCTCTAATTGCTGGTCCAACAGACCAGAGAATGCTCCTGGAATCACCATGCTGATACACAGCAACAAAGACAACTCTGCCTCCAGTTGAGGAGACTAACAACAAGGTGTTAGCAGACAATTAGGCTCTTTAACATGTGTGGCATTTTGAAACATTTAGCAGGAGGGTAGATATGCAGCACACATATATGACAAATATGAATGATGCGGCTCAATGCACATGCACCCAGAGCACGACAGATACAACACGACCTGTGTGCAAAAAAAACTAAACATGCACATACTATTAACAGGAATAATTTGTGTTAAAATGAACTTGTGGAAAACCAGCGTGTTCACACTCCCCTGTCGGCCTGGTTCTTACCGGTTCAGTGAATTCTGGGATAGCAACACGGTAGGTGAGGGGGTTGCAGTCTCGAGTGTTGTTCACCAAAATGCAAGGCAGGAACATGGGGCCCAGGTCGTCTCCGTCCAGAACGTCCACAGTCAGAGTAGTCGTAGCTGTCCGTCTGTTCGGGGGGTATGGAGCACGGTCCTGGAAGAAGACGTTTTTTTTTTCGATTTGAACTTTTAAACTCCCAGATGATTTCTTACTTTGTGCACTGGGGCTACACACTGCTCGTGCTAAAATCAATATAACATGTTAAAACCACGACAGACCTCTGCAACTGTTTTTTAGCATATATTACAGCTGTGGCTGTTATGGAAACTCAGTGATGCATTCATTCAGTTTTTATTCTACATTTGTTTGGCTGCAGGAAATGGGTGCTGAAATTCATTTCCATGCTTTAAGTAGAACATTATTGAATACTTGTATGCAGTAAAAACAGTCAACATATTTTCACTGGTAAATAACAATAGTACTCGTGCAGAAAGACAAATGTGTTTATATTGTAAAGAAAAATAACTATAAAAAAATTGGTTGAAGAAGCATTTTGTCATAAAATATCCAATACACTGTTTTCTCCAATATACTTTTTTATATATTAATTAGCACTTATGTTAAAGGGCTCTTAGTCATTGAAGTAGAATGAAAAAGATAATACGATGCAAACTATAAACTACAAACTACAAAGATTTGCGCTGTTAGTGTAATTGAACTCTTGACACAAGCATCACAGAGTTCTAGTAAATACAATGACTTCTTTCTTATTCTACTTTGACGTCCTCTTGCGAGAGAAAGTAAAGTATCCCTGGAGGACCACTTGCCGGGGTAAGGGGTTGAGTCTTTTGCTCCCTCATGCAGGAAATGGAGAGGAGAGGACATGAGTTAACTGCTAAATGCTGTCCAGCATACATGTAGGAGTGGTGACCTCTTGAATCCCAGCCTTCTAAATAAATCCACGTTCCTGGCTAGTGGCTTTCTGGTGGCTCTTGGTCCACAGACATTGCCTATTGACATATGGTAAGGACTGGAGAAAGAGCATAAAGCTGCCTTCATTATAACTCATTTTGGCATCATTAGCAGAACTTGTTTTACAATATTTTCAGAGTGTGAAGGAAAAGTGCATCCCTCAAATTAAATCCATAATTATGCATATATAGTTACTCTGATATGCAAGGGCGCTCTGGTATAGACGGTTATTTCAGAATGTGTCAGAGACAACTTCAATCACTTTGAATAAAACATATGTAAGCAATCTCTGAATTACAATTAGGCGAGTTAAACAGATTGTCAGTGTGATGTCCTTACAGTGACTGCCAAATGAGATCTCTAATGACTTCTTATCAATGTGTAAAAAAGAAACAAGATTCCACGATTGGTGGACTAAAAATAAAAATAGTTATTTACTGAATGATGACCACATTTTGAAACAGAAAAGATTGCACCAGACCTTGCTTTAAAACTTCACTGAGGAAAATAAATGATGCAGTGTAAGGATTTGAAATAATTTAAGCAGCAAGCAATTGACTTCAAGTTCAAAAGGTTTGCCCCCTAAAATAACTAAAAGATCTGAAATATGGTAAAACTAAAACTGTTCGTGTCTTAGGCCAATAAATAAAAACAGAACCTTGAGTGCTGCACTTCCACGCTCCAAATAACAAATTGTTAATACAGCTGCTGCGGCTGAACACAAATCACATATTGAGAAATGGTTTAAGGTGCATTTATACTTCATTACCCTCAAGGGCAATGCTGAGGTAGACAATCTTAGAAAAGAAAGTCCACAATCAAGGCCTACTTTTAATCTGTTGACATTGAGCATTTGCTGATCTTGACACTTGCAAACAAAAGTCACTTACATTGGCTTGGACCAAAACAAGGTAGCGAGTTCTCTCCTCATAGTTTAGCCTCTCAGCCAGAATAATGTGTCCTGAAAGAGTGTTGGCAACACTCACTGTTCTGTTAGATCCCTGAAAGAAAATGAGAGTTTATATGATAAGACAGAAGGAAAAGTGGATGTGAGCAATAAGTCATGATTGTTGAAGACATTTACAATGGTGTAGAGGGTGTTTATCATGGTGTGACTTGTCCATATACCGGGTCATTGGGGTTGTAAAGTATGCTGTATTCTATATGTCCATTGGGTCCGTCGTCAATATCCGTAGCTCCATTATTCCCAGAGAAGCCAGTGAAAATGGTCGTTCCAACTGGTGTGAGCTAGAAGAAAATATAAGAGCGGAAATAAAAAGTCAGCAGCTCAAATGGCCCACTGTGACTCCAACATGTACTTACAGTGAGCGCATGCTTAGGGCCATTACTGTTGCCACTCCAGCGCATTAGTACAACAAAAAGAAAAAAATATATATCAGAGAGGGGGAAATGTTGCAGTCAGCAGCAGTCTGAAGGTTTATAGAATAACAAAAAAGTAAGTATGAGAACCACTGCTGTTCCCCAGAGGCCTCAGCAGAGTCAACGGGAGCAGGCAGTGGGCAGGAGAGGGGGGGGGGCAGTTGACAGCAATGCAGAGTGACTCACTGTTGTGCTTACAGTATGAAAAGGTAAACACACTGTGAAATAATGAACACACAATGCACACAAAAAGTGTAGACAATGGAGGCAAGTTGTCGGGAGTCTGAAAGCACAGATTTTATGAATGTTTTGAATCATTGCTGGTGATTCAGGTCTGTTTTTGATGCGAGATGAACATAAATAATTCCTCATACCGTCATGCCTGGCTAGTTTTAATGAATAAAAAGTCAAGCGAAAATTACACGTATCTTGACTGTTTCATCTCACAGGGAAGCACTTGGTTTGTGCAGCCACATTGTACATACTTTATGTAAAAGACGAAGATATTGAACTTGCTTTTATTTCAAATATCAAACTGAAACATAACAAAATGTGTAATTAAGTAGACCTAAGTATCACCTCAGGGCTGCAGGTAGTATGATGTCATGGTCCTCAATAACATTGAGTAGACAACCTTATTTGATTTATTAGGGGGCGTTTTGGTCAGTCGCTTCTAAACTTTGATGACCCCACTGGCAGTGAAAAAAAAAAGTTTCTTACTATAGACAGCAAAGCATGTCACTATGCCCTCCTGTGAGAGTCTCACCCAAGAACACTTACATAAATAAGTTCAAATTCTGCACACAGTGTCACAAAAGTCCAGCAGAAACAACAACAGGAGTCGCTCCCTTACCTCGTTTATCGCAACATAGTAGCGTGGCTGCTGAAAGCGAGGGTTGTTGTCATTTTTGTCCCTCACAACAATCCGTACCTCGTGAAAGATGACAGTGCCAACCAGCTCATTGTAGCACTGGACCTGAACCACGATGGTAGTGATGTAGTTGGGGGGCTGAGAGAGAGAGAGAGAGAGAGAGAGAGAGAGAGAGAGAGAGAGAGAGAGAGAGAGAGAGGAGAAGAGAGAGAGAGAGAAGAGAGAGAAGAGAGAGAGAGAGAGAGAGAGAGCAGAGAAGAGAGAGAGAAGAGAGAAAGAGAGGAGAAAGAGAGATAGACAGAGATCTACTTCTAGCCCTAGAGAATGAAAGAGAGCTGAGAACTGTCTTAGCTATCTATACTGCTCTATCTGATTAGATCGATCCTATATCGAATGGGGTGTCTGTGTCCCATTTACTTTACTGAAGCATACAATGGAAGTTGTTATAGATTTCAATTCTCTAAAGAACAATATGTGTGCTATGTCAGAGATGATAACACGAGAGCAGCACTGACCTTCACTGCTGTCAAAACTAGCAGCGAACAAGCTCCCTAACAAGTGCAGAAATAAGCAATACACACAATGTTCTCAAGGCGAAAGGTTCACACTAAGTTGTTGTTATCGATATTTTCCTCTCTTTGCCATTTCTACCTAAATCAATAAAAGGCAAAAGTGGGCCCAACAAATATTAAAATAAAGCAAGATCAACCAAAATGTACTTTCAATACTCTCATTAATTAAGCTGCCTGCATGGTATTGTTGTAAACAAATCAGGGTTATGTTTTTTTTAATTATTCTTAGCTGGACTGTGCAGCCTGATTTTGCATTTTTTAATATTACATTTTATACATTATTTATGCGTCTGATTAAGCTGCTAGCCTTGTGCCATGTTCTGTTTAAAATGTATATTGGACAGCAGCAGCGGCTTGTCTCGTTGCCACCACTACTTGTCAGACATCATCTGAATTTATAAACAGTGATGATGTAATGCAGCCTGCTTTTCCCTCTCTCTCCTTCTTATTTACAAAGGCTTGACTCCCATGTCCTCATCCACTGATTTCTCCTATTAATTGGCCATATTTCTGAAATATTCCCATTAGTGGCTTCACGTATAGCTCCATCCCCTGACTCCATAAAATCGAAACTCACACTAAAAAAAACAGCTTCGTCCCTACAGCAGTCACAACACTTAACATCCAGTGAACCCCACACCTCACACACTTTACTGTACCATTTAATCTCATCTGTATTCAAAGCAGTTTAACTGGATACCTTGAGGAACTTAACTGAACATATTACACACACACACACACACACAGTGTCTGCATGTAATCAATTACTTACTATATTTAGCAGCAGTGTTGAATTATAATGCTAGATGGAAACCAATGACCACCAGCTTGGTTGCTACGTTACGTATTTTTTTCTGTTTGTAGCTTGTAGGAGTCAAGAATCGAGGTTAATTGCCTTATTGTATTGATATATATATATATATCACTTCCCTTATGTGTTCCCAGTTTGCAAGAGTTAAGATGACAAAGAACTATAGAAAATGAGTGTTTAACAAGGTTTAAGGAGTATGCTGCTTTTGTGTTGCGCATGTAAACACCCCTTATCTGATTCAGACACTTGCAATAGCCTGTATCATGATTCTAAATAACCTGGAGCAGCTATCTGGAATACTCTGTTAAAAAGTAAGATTTGTTGGATGTTATTGTCTCCTCCAGGTTTGAGATTATTCTGCCACGTGAGCAGGTGTTTCATTAATACAAGTAATGAAGACATTATTTTGTAAAACAACACATATAATCAGGGTTAGTGAGCTCCCCCTAAAGACTGTAAATATTGTAATTTTTGCATTTTTTCTTTTCATACAAATGTTTCTTTTCCTATATTTACATTATTTTTATAAATTAGGAATGCATTAAGCACTGTGTAAGAAGGGTGTTGATTTGTGCACAACAATGCACTTAAAGCTGTTACTCCGTACAGTACATAGTATTTCAAGTAAAGGTCTTCTGGCTAACTTGTTGCTTTTGGATGTGCCTAATGCTAAATAGTAAATACAGAGCTTTTTAACTTGTGACTAATTGGTATTGCCCTAAAAAAAAAGTAAAGCAACTCACTTGCATTAAAACACAGACAGATACTGTATACAACAATTGATAATGACTATCATGATAGTTACCACATTACAGAAATAGCTTGTGCACTACAAAAACTCAAAATCTTGCCAAGTATATTTGTCTCAGAATATGTCTTTACACCTGATATAAGACATAATGACTTCAGAAGTAACACTGCAGTGAGATATCGGGTCTTGTTTTGCATGATCTTGTTAAGTCAAACCATCATTTTTGAGTTATATCTCAGATGAAACACACATTTGTTAACATGTTTAATAGAAAATCACCAACGAACATCAGAAAACAGAAAACGTTTGAGTATTACTTATATTGTAACACAATATTTCATGATTGTGGTCAAAAATAGTTCAAAATGTGTTCTCCCAGCTAATTACTAGATCTGATTTATCTAAATATCCCTTCTTATTTCAAGAAATCTTACCAAGCAAATTCACACTTCTTTTGGAAGATTTCTGTACTTATTTCAAGTGAAAACACCATGTTTTCATTATTGTTTCATTTGTTTTTGGAGCAGCATTTTTTCCAGTGTGTGAAAAGTAGTAAGTTTGACTTTATCTTTCGTGATGTTTAATTAAGGATCACCATCTTTGGTCCTATACTCACATCTCTGTCCAGAATGCGCCCGGTGCTGTTCAGGTAGAGCCTCTGTCGGGTGGGATCGAGTATCACCCAGTAGTCATAGTTGTCCAGTAACGTCAGTGAGATGGTCCGGCCTGGGTCTTGGGCACGGCCATTTATCTGCATGTTTTCCACCAAAACTGTACCTGTGAAACCAGAGCAACATCCAATTAATAAATGGTTCTCTTGTTGAAAGACATTCGTTGTCACTTTTCTTTATTCTAAATTTGCGTTATTAGATCAGGTTCGTGTTGGACAAGACATAAACAATTAAATGTATTTTCAAAAGGCCTATCTCACCCCTTGACAAATGGTTTTGTTGAAAATGAAATACTGAAAAGCAAAAATGTGCTTGATGATTAAGGACATGTTTCATCAAAAAATCTGCCGAAATTAAAAGAAATGAAAAAATCAAAGGAGCACAGATTTGATGAACAAAGCCCCCATGAAGCTTATTTCAATTAAGGTTGTATTATATCTAGACAGAAGCATATGTTTTCTTCCATGTAATCAGCCTTTTCTTTTTATCTCATATGACCTTTCTGGAATAAAACTATGATCTTTTTTTTATAATTTCTCCAACATTGAACTCTCAACAGCCCTACACGACTTTTACAAATAAAACCTAAGATATCCGTAGTCTATCAAATCTCTTAGAATTATAATTGTCATCCTTGAGGGCACACATACTTTGTGGTGTATTTTCCACAACTTTTAATCAGTGACCGATTTGCAACAGCGGCCCTCTAGGACAACCCTCCCAAAGCCACACATGTGTGTATTGTTTGACAATATCAGACAAATTAGTGTTTTTTTAAGTAACTGGTGGTTAACCCTAAAAATAAAAGAAGAAGAATCCAGGGGGAGCAGAGATCAAGTGTTTTAATTAGGATCAGTTGTGCGACAACAACCCTTTAATCAGGTATGTAAAAGTACACCTTGACATGAAAGTCCGTCATTATAATACAACTGTTTTAAAAGTTTCAGAAAGAAGTTAGAAAGTTGCATGAATGCTTCAAAAATCTGGAAAATAGCATATGTTTAAAAGGGACCTATCATGCAAAATGCACATCTTTTATACATGAATATGTGTCCCCGGTGTGTCAGGGAACTCACCAAGTGTCAGAAAACACACCCCTCTCTCTTTTCCTCCATACCCAAATCTCTAAAACGGGGCTGCAACGGATCTGATACAGACTGCTTGCAACTTGTCCAGAACAGCACAGCCAGAGTTCTCACCGGTACAAAAAGGTCCGCACACATAACCCCCATACTTGCAAAACTACACTGGCTCCCGGTCCACTACAGGATCCAGTTTAAGGTTCTGCTCCTCACGTACAAAGCCCTGAATGGACAAAGCCCAAAATACCTCTGTGACCTCATCCATACCCAGACATCTACCCGCTCTCTCCGCTCCAGCCACGCTCCTCTTCTTTACATCCCCCGCACACGTCTCCGAACAATGGGAGACCGAGCCTTCTGCTCACTCGCCCCGCGTCTCTGGAACTCCCTCCCAGATCAGCTGAGATCTGCCCCTTCCACCGAGGTCTTCAAAACCGGCCTTAAGACCCTCTTCTTTCGGCAAGCCTTCCAATAAACTTTGAGCATGGTACACCTGGAGTACTGCCATTTTTTATCGCTATCACCGACTTTTATTTTTGTACTTTATTTTATATTTTATTTTTTGATTTCTTATTATTATTACAATTATTTGTTTAATCTATCAAAGTGTATTAGTATCCTTTGTTGTGAAGCACTTCGAGATTTGTCTTGGCAGATGAGAAGGGCTATATAAATTAAATGTAGTATTATTATTACTGATACAGATTTGAAATATCTCTGACGTCAGAAACAAGGAGCTCCGCCTATATGGGCAACTCTCCACCTATCAGGGGAATGAGAGGCTGCCGTGGCATGGTAACAGCATGGTAACATGACGCTTGTGCCTCACCCCCCTCTTTGCAGGGGGGCGTGGTCAGCTGCAGCTCATTTGCCACAGAATCAGCCCTTGCAAAAACAGGGCTGGAATAGAGCAAATAAAGCGAAATGAGGCATGGCTAAAATGCATGATCTGTTTGGTATTTTCTTAAAAAAACTTCACAGACATGTTTTATATAGGTATGGCCCTACGATATATTATTCAAATATAGCATGATAGGTCCACTTTAACCCTTCTCTTGCGTTTCGGGTCAAAAGTGACCGAATGACTTTTATTTTAATCATAAATATTGTGTTTTTCATCCAATTGCCTCAATACCTTATGTTGTCCTCCACACTAGGCCTCTGAACATATACACTTGATGATCACCACTTGCATTGAATTTTGAGTGATTTATTCAACAGTGAAACACCCTTGACGTTTTCGGTCAGATTTGACCGCCATAGAAAATGAATGGGTACGAGTGTATTATGTTCATCTTGCAGATGGAAAACATATATATACACACACACACACACACGCAAACACACACGTTACGGGAACTTCTCCCTTTCTAGCGCTGTATTATACAATGTATCATACCTTCTCACAGGTGCGAGCTCTGTGCCCCTCGAGAAACACAAACGTCTCACTTTCTCGTGCTAAATGCGCCTCCCTTACTGGCTCTCAAGCAGTTACATGTGTGCCTTGCTCACATTTGACTCATTGACACAATGAGCAGGCGACCGATTAGGCGATTTTCTGTACCAGGGGCTCTGGACACATTTTTGAACCAGATGAAGAGGAGATTGAACCAGATGAAGAGGAGATAGAGGAAGATGTCTCAGAAATGGAAGACAACAGCGATCCAGACTATGAGCCTACAACAGACCAGGAAGAGGCACCTGAGGGAGAGGCCCCTGAGGGAGATTAGGGAGAGGCCCTTGAGGTAGAGGCCCCTGAGGGAGAGCCCCCTGAGATAGAGGCCCCTGAGGGAGAGGAGCCTGAGGTGACATTCCACAATTTTGCATTGCCAACTATGTGCGTGAACACATGTGAATACACACACATGTTCTGTTATGGTATATTTCTCTTTCAATAAATGTTCATCGAAGAAAACAGTATCAGTGTCTTATTTTATATTCATCACAGTGAATGCTGAACTTGATGGGCCCACCGGTGGGTCCGGACCATGACATGAAATACTGGCTTGCTTGTATCAGATTAATACATCCCATACATCATTGGAACGGGAAGAATCTCAGCTACAACACTAACTAAATCATTTCCATCTCCAGTAAACACAGCCTACATGGCAAGCATTTTTTATAATATACAGTAATGTAAAATAAGCACTATCTTTGAACTTATTGCCAAAAATAATATCAAATTCACCCCTGGTGTCATTCTGTCTGTCATCCCTTGATTATACTTGCTTTGACTGTTCAAATGAGATGTCACTGGGTTCTAGAGATATCACTGTGCAAAACACACAGGTCAATTTTGACCGAAAATAGCATGGGAAGGGGGGTATGACCTAATGCAAGAGAAGGGTTAAGTATACAATATTGCTTCATTACACAGTTCATTTGATATATAAATACATTTCCAACAAATCATCCTAAACTAATCTTTCATACGCTATATTTCAGATTCCATTAAATATATTGTACAAATCTCATTAATTGTTTGCCAAATGAAATATGTTTCAAAGGCCAACAATTGCAACAACAGAATAAGCAATGTTCTTACTAATCATAAAGTGACGACTTTTATCTTAACAATATTTGGATGACAAAAACATGACAAAAACATATAATTCATTTGCACATGCTGTAGAAGGATCCATGTCATGCAGATATACTCTTGTTATGTTTATATTAACATGCAGTGTTGGATGAAAATGTATCCCTTCAATGTGTGATAGCATATAATCGCTGATCACATTTTTATACAATGACTGTCTTAGTGTGCTTGGACAAAACATATTTGAGAATTCAACACCAGAAAATAATGTATTAATGAAAGAAAGAGAAGTTTATAAAGCTTTCATTCATTAAGCAGCACGACAGGCAAAATCCCAGCTGCAAAACATAACATGTTGCGTTTTTCATTATTCTGCGATTGTTTTTCCCTTATTAATCCCCTTTGCATCACACAAGTTTCACATGTATAAACAATATGCATAAGTAAGCCGGTGACTCTTTAAACCACAATATGTTTTCACCAAAAAGTGAGTTTTAACCTAATCATCTTAACAATATATGTATAAATACTTATATATGATACAAGCAGTTGACATGCCTCACCAAGCTAAAACGTGACAAGGTGTTGGTATTAAATGGGATTTTTAATGAATAATTTCATCCTTTCGTAAAATAGGTTAATCCATTTGTAGAGTCACTTAAAACTTGTTAAGCCCCGAGCCTGTTTTTCAGGTCTCAGGCTCGAAAATGACATTCCCAGAACAAATGACCATATTCCCTTCTAAAAGGGTTAAATTAATAATCTTTTTTTCTCAAAGCAAGGTTACACCTGTGAGTTGGATTTGGAAGTGTCAGAATCAATATAGATGTTTTTATTTTAAAGTAAATTCAGATTGAACACAGTAAAAAAAATTAAATGATTGTGTCCGTCCCAAAAAAAAAAAATACTTATAGTGAAAACCACCCTTGAATGATGGGATGGTAGACTAAAAGCTTTAGCAATCCAAACTACAACATATAATAAGTACCCTGTATCAAGATTGATGCAAAACAAGTGAAATTTGACCTTTTTAGAGAGATTTAGCACAACAAAAACACATCTGGGGTCATTTGGGTGGATTTTCCATATCTCTGGCCCCCCTTGGTCGATTTTGCGGATTGACATCTCTTTCTAACCGTCAGAGCCAATGGAATCGAGGGGAACTCCCACATACTCCTTATTTGGTAATGTGTGTGTGTGAGACTGCCGCATAGAGTGGTGAAGTCCCTCCCCTTCCGGTGGACCTCCATGGGACCTTATTTCGGAAAAATTATGTATTGAAGTCAATGGAGAGAGAAAGATTATCTTTCGATCCCGTTTGAATTGTGCCACGAATTACACATATGATGTTTGTCAATTTAAAAGATAATTTTGTTAATTAAGTCAAAAAAATTAAAATGTGTCGTAAAACTGTGAAGTAACACATTTGTTTGTGTGAAACGCTGAATGAACTACATCTCCGGTCTAGCAGAACAACACACG